GTGTGTGTGGTGGGCGTGAATGGAGGAGAGGCAATTGCAGTAGGACAATTCCCCAGGAGGTGCTTTCTCCTCTCCCTCTCAGTCTCTCTCTGGATGGCTGGTGCCTACCAGCAAAAAAAGAAAAGAAAAATAAAAAAAGACAAATGAAAGCCAAACCCTCCAGGCAGTCACAGTCCTGTGGGGAGAACAGCAAATATAGACCCAGAACACTTGGTGGGGAAATAACAAGGATAATAAGGTACTTTGGAGGAAGAGAGGCAGGGCAGCTGACAAAGGGTTATCAAGAAACAGGGAAGCAAAGCTTACCCTGAGACCTGAAGATTAAGAAATTTTCCAAAGTCAGCTGTAGGTGGAGTGGGTTCATGGTCCATAAAGATTTCCACACAGATGGAACAGGATTCATAAAGGCCTAGAGGTGAGAGAGAGGGAGAGAGAGATCTGAGAAACTGAAAGGAAGCCGGTAGGGAAATGAGTGAGGAGAGTAGCATGAAATGTTTGGAGAGCAACCTGGGGCCCAAATTATGTGGAGCTACTGTGGGAAAAATGGACTGTAGACAGCTAAGAGTAGAAGCAAAAAAATCAGGAGGCTAGTTTAGTGTCCAGGTGAGAGATGAAGGCAATTATAGACGTAGAAGTGGGAACCAATGGGTGGGTGAAAGAACTGTATTTTGGAGGTAAAACTGGACAGTCAGATGAGACTTCAGATGAGATGAGGTGTGGAGAATCAGAAAACCAGAGAAAAGAGTAGAGTTAAGGCTGACTAAAGTTTTTGGCTTAAACAATTGGCTTTCTCAAATAGAAAAGATTGAGGGAGGATTCATTTTAGTTCAAAGTGGAATCAAGGATACAACTTTGGACATGTTGCATTTGGGATGCTTTTGCACTGCCCAAGTGAAAAACCAGTCTATAGAGGGTATGAAACTCAGAGAAGTCTGTTTTGAAAACAATGATTTAGAGGTCATTAGATTATACAGGGTAGTTGAAACCATGGTGGATAAACAAGACTTCCCAGAGTGAGAGGACAACATATGCCATGCTCCTGAGAAACACTCTATATAAAGGTCTGGCAGAAAAATGAGAAGCCAGTGAAGTAGCCAGAGATAAGAGGAAAATCATGGGAGAGCTGTATTGCAGAAATAAACAAGAGAAAGCATTTCAATAAGGACAAGGTTATCAACACTGAATACTGTGTATAGGTTAGGAAAGTTAAGGGCTGAAAAATGGCCATTAAATTTGGTGACATGAGGTTATTGATGACCATGACAAGAACTTTATGGTTTGGTCAAATGGAGAGAATAAAATGTCTCTAAGCTTCTCTCTGCCCTAGAGCAGAACTCTTTCTCTTAGAGTCCTCTTATCCCTGGCCCACTTTCCCTCTTCTTCAAGACCTTCTTTTATACAGACTTCTCTTAAGTTTTGTCCTTAAAGACTGTTTTCTTACATCTTCTGCTCTCTTCCCTCACCCATCTCTTCCCAGATCCTTATTTTCTTCTTTGTTCTTGTACCACTCATTCATCTCTCTAACCAGATACTGCTTTTATCAGACTGCTATTCTTCACCTTCTTTCAGACTCCTCTCCAATTTTCCACCTGCCTATGCTCTCTGAATCTCAACAGAGATTTTAGCAGAATGATTACTAAGGAGCCTCCCAGGTTCAACACTGAAGAGTCATAGTCTTTGGCATGATTCCATCAGGATCTGACATTGCCGACCTGTAGGAAATACAGTGTTAGTACCAAGTCCCTTGAGTGATTGCCAATCTGGTAACCACATCCTGCCAACATGGTGCCCTCATCCGCCCTGGCACCTGCCCTAAGATTCTGCCTTTTTCTATCCTCAATTACACAGAATTAGTGTGAGCTGATAAGGTGCCTCTCTATTACAAGTCACATTCAACCAGAATTTTCTACTTGCCAAAGTACTTTTATATTCATTTGTACAGCCTTGGGAAGCCAGCTATGAGAAGCCTGGAGAAAGATATAGAGACTTATTGAAGATCACATAGCTGGTTAAAGGATTCACCTCGTGTCCCTTCCACCCTTTCTGCCTTGCTTGCTTTCATGCCCAAAGACCCCTCAAGCCTGGACTCAGACATGGCTGCCCTTTAGCCTGTTATGGATTGCCAAGGAGAAGCTCCCTAGACAAACCTCAGCCCAGGAGCACTGCAAGGCAATGAGTGCCCCATTTGTACCTCCACCTTGGGAAGGAGGGTGATTGCTTCATTGAATTCATCCTAGGCAACAATTCTCACTGTTTGCTTTGATGTTACTTGAAAAAGGGAGTTGAGCATAATGATTAAGACTTTGGCTCTTAATCATTTAGTACTTAGGCCTGGCTCTGCTCTGCACTAGCTCAGTGAGACAATGTACATGAAAACCCTTAGCATTGTGCCTGGCACAATGAATAGCGCCTGTCAGCCTTATCATTTTTACATGTGAGTCCTTTGGAGGGAGTTAGTGTGGTACACTGGAAAGTTTATTGAACTAGATATCTAGAGACCTAGATTCCAGATCTATTACTGCTGAA